GTAGTTAGAAAATAGGTTTCACAACCGGAACCACAGGACAGTCGGCATTTCGCCGTCTCGCAAAGTCAGACTATTGCTGAAAACCTTCTTATCGGCGTATAGCTCTATAACGCAATTTTGCTGGCAAATATTACCTCAAGCTCATTTTAACACTTAGGCTATCTCGTAATTATTTAATACACCGTCTTTCATTGAATAGCGATTCTCTGCTAAACAGCTGGTTTTCAGCTGTATCGTATTTACGTTAAGGCGATGATAGCGTCACTCTTTTGCATAATGCAGTTTGCTTTTATTTGCAACAAATCCAAATTTCAAGAATTTTGAACAGTTTTAGCCGATTTATCCCGATTTTTCAATTTTTTCTTAATTTTTGGAAATCAGTGTATTTAGAAGTGTGCCAATACCAGTGTAAACCAGAATAGTTTATCAAAGACTCTTTTCTAACTTTGTTGCTCAAGACAGAGAAAGATATTTGAAAAACTAATTTACTCTAAGTAATGATCTATTTTCTTTATTTGAAATACCAGCAAGACGACTTGCTTGAAATTGTAGCTTCAACACGTTTCATTCTGTAACTGAAGCACATAATTCAATTTGTTATGATGCATTCAGTATATTAGTGAATCATTTCCTTTTGAAAACATTATGCATAAAGTTTATTAGCGAACCATTTCCTTTTAAAAAGATTATACACAAAATTTCGAGCTTATTTGACCCACTGTTACTAAATTCTTTTCGAAATGTAATTCAGTTGCTTCTAAATAGTGAATTATTACTTTTTAGAAGATCAGATATAAAATCCTTAATTTATTCTGCACACAAAATTAGTTCTCTTCGTTCCAAAACAATTCGCATGATGCATACGCAGTTAATGTTACAGTAGTGACTATTATTTATATTTTGTAACAATTAATTATTTATATTATATAATTGGTGGCTGTAATCAGCCCATTAAATTCGCAGAAGGAACCAAAAATTCCATATTCAGAATTTGGTAGACTTACTTGTGTTTGTCAATGATCTCTGCTTTAACAACCAAATTAGAAAGACATTTGTCATCTTTTCCACATCCAGTTTGGAATGTAATCTTCAAAAGCGATAAAAAAAGAAGCATGTGAAAAACTCAAATGAGAAATAAGAAAATGGAAATTTTTCATCAAGGAAAAGTGTAAATTAACATTTGAAATGCAGTTTTATAGGCTCAAAATACAGAAATATTAAGTCAAAAACATTACAATCCTAACTTCTTCCAACACAACTTAAAGGCTGCTTGGGTCTGGTACTAAATTTTTTCCCCCATGATTTCCCTCCTCCATAGCTTTAATCTTTCTGGAATGACTTAAGATGTTATGATCCTAAAATAACTTTGGTTTCTCATAAACACCACTAATTGTACTCTGTTTCAAATTCTATGCATTAGATGATTAGGTGATAATATTATAAGTTACAAGCTGAGATAAATAGTTATGGGTAGTTTGTCTTTAATAAGACTTCTATGGGCTTAGTTTTAGAATCCCCTCGAATTTTATTAATTTAAAGGCTATAGTTTTATGCTGCATAGAAAATATAGTTAAGTTTAAAATTCTATTATCTTTCTGCATTGAATCTACAGAGTTTCAAAAAGAATTGAACTAAGTTTAAAAAAAAGAAGAATCTCCTGAAAGTTGAGTTCTAAGAATCAGAAATGTACCAAAATGCTATGAAAATATCCTTACTAATGGCAAGAACTGTGCTAGAAATTCGTAAAAATTTAAAACTGTTCTGATGATAAAACTTCACCCTATGAAAATTTACATCATCCTCTTATACTCGCAAAAAGGAACTCTTTGTGCACTGGTATTGTTTCCTTTTGAAATTGCTCAATTATTTTTGAAAATGAAAAAGTATTACAAATTGTTTTTGCTTTTCAACAATCATTCGTTAAAATTTAATACATTTACCATTACGATGATAACGGGGAACACTAAGCTTTTCCATTAATGAATAATCTGTCACCAATTATTATGATGGAGTCAAAATGCGCTACTAGGATAACGTTGATAATCTTTCTCGTTCCTTTTTTTTTTTCCCAGTTCGAGCCTTATAAAAAGACTGTGGGAGGAGGTAAATTCGTCTTGCTGCATACATGAATACTATTTACCACATAAAGAAGTAAAAAGTGTTAAAATATTGATTTGCTAAACTTACAGCAGAAGTGATGTTTGTAGGAGATGCAGGGTCAATAATAGGATAATGTTTATTAAATTCAACATTCTTCTCTTTCGCTTCAGTCAGGTTATATCTGTAAAGTAGCTGAATTGGAGTTATGACGTCCTTTATATCTGGCTATGGAAAAAGAAAAAAAGATGGTAAACTAGAGGCAAAGTAATATTACCCAACAAATTTAAAACACTAATGGTTACCTCAACATGTCTTTCAATAACACTAAATAAAATGATGGCGACACTAAAGCAGATTATCAAAAATTAACTTTCACGTGCAAGTGCCTCACAGTATTTTAAAATAAGAATAGCTTCAGCTCCAGGCTATTGTCACTCAAAACAAAACTAATTAATTGTAATTGTAATGTATAATTGTGAATTGTAATGTATACAATTGTAATGTATACTAATGTATACAATTATGATGAATACATTAGTGTACATTACAATTTCAACTAAAAAAATAAGCTGAAATACAAACAATCTGTCAACAAAATTTCTTTTTTTAAAATCGATTGTTATTTTCTGTCCTATCTGTTCTCATGTCTCTGCCAGATGTAGAATTTCTTCTCATTCTCAAATAGAATAAAAATGAGCCAAGCAATAGTAATTTTAGAGATAATAAAATTATCGACGTTTATCTTTTCATAATTCTGGTCTGGCACATTATTAATACCTCACATACGTATACAAAATTTACTCTGACATTGATAATATTCTTTTTCCCTTTTGAAAGTCACTACAATAGTAATAGTCATGTACACTCAGTAACTTGAATTATTAGACATTACAGGAAAATTTTATAATAAACTTTCGCTTACCCGAATATATAAAACTTCTCGTATACACTCAGTTATCCCAATACTTAAGTTCATTTTTTGTTTAACCGAATGCACAGCTTTATTATTGCGATGGAAGAATCCTCTGGGAGTTACTACATTTGTAAGACTAGGATGTTCCACAAATAAATCATTTTCAAATTCTGCAAAAGATAAAAATGTTGTTCAGCAAATTAATATTATAGTATGTCTACGGTTTGGTAAAATAATAGAATTGGACATGGAAGACCTTTTTATAACAAATATGATATTATACACATTATAAAATTCAGGCCTTTTATATTTATATTGGACTAAAATTATTTATGCAATTATCTATCCAACTGCATATATATTCATCACCATTTATCTCCTGATAAATATTAAAATCTATTTTAAAGTGTTAAATGAACTAGATTTTCTTTCACGTTCAAGAATTTAGGAAAGAAAAAGTTTCCCTTTTTCCCTGTTTTACCAACACAAAGGAATTTGTGGGATCCGATGTTACTTCTGGGCCATTAGACAATTTTATTTCCTTGATTATTACCTTAAATATGCCTGACGCGCCTATGTATACCGAGCGATTTTTTTTTAACACTCTGATCAGAAAGCACCTTGTTAAGTCTAATTCAGAGTTTATATTACTCGTCTCTTAATCTTGCATTACATATATATATACATATCCTTTTGTTATTCCATGACTAGAAACTTCCACTTATATTTCTTTCTGCTCTATTATAAAGACAAAATTTTTCTACCAGCACTTCAAATCTTTATAAGACTTTGGCATCAAAGCGTCAATTGTTATATAAAAAAAAATAAAGCCTATCAAAATCGTTGATAACAGCGCAAAACAAATGGACACTGTAGTAGAATTTATGATTCAGCTTCCTCGCTTTCCCATATTGCACAAAATGCGCGAAAAATAATTGCCGGAATGTGTAAGATAGATCAAAAACTATTTTCTTCTCATGTATATCCATCCTAATGTGTCACCCAGCCGATAAGCAGTTAGTTACGCTGACTGCCGTACTGAAGGGATCGGGTTCACGGATAAGGCATAGAGGTGCTCTTGTGGTAGACAGACAATACGCTATGTTCAAATTTAAGAATTTTCACATTCGGTCGGTTGTCTCCAGAACTGATGAACAGATTTTAACAAAATTTGGAATAGACATATTTTAATATTACACAAAGAAATACACTATACAAAAGTCATGGTAGACACCCAAAATTGTGTGTAAGGCCCATTAGCACAGGAAGGTCTAAAACGAAGGCTACAAGATCGAACAAAAAAGGAGACTAATAGAAGACTTGGTCCTCTCCAACAGTCACATTCCATTCACAACACGACATCATACTAGAAACGAGGCAGTTTATAAATCCCTGGGGCAGCCGATCCCACTCCTACAGCAACGTTATTTGTTTTTTAAGTTGTGGGAAGAGAAAGGCGAGTTGTAATAGCTCTTCCAAAAGCGTCCAGGCACGTTCCATAGGGTTTGAATCTGAGGTCTGGCATGACAATCCATAAGATTAGTATCCTCATATTGAAGAAAATCATAAATCATCCACCAGATTAGTCCCAAGTATAACAAAAGATCCTTTTGTTATATCCCACGACTAGAAACTTCCACTTCTTTCAGGGTTCGCCCTGTTATTAACACAAAATTTTTCTACCAGCACTTCAAATCTTTATAAGACTTTGGGCATCAAAGCGTCAATTATTATAAAAAAATAAAGCCTATCAAAATCGTTGATAACAGCGCAAAACAAATGGACACTCTAGTAGAATTTATGATTCAGTTCACTCTAGTAGAATTTATTATTTCTTTCAGGGTTCGCCCTGTTATTAACACAAAATTTTTCTACCAACACTTCAAATCTTTATAAGACTTTGGGCATCAAAGCGTCAATTATTATAAAAAAATAAAGGCTATCAAAATCGTTGATAACAGCGCAAAACAAATGGACACTCTAGTAGAATTTATGATTCAGCTTCCTCGCTTTCCCATATTACACAAAGTGCGCAAAGTACTTGATAAACTAATGAGGCAAACCGTATTTACACAGTTCTTTACATTTAAATGCTGAACTGAAAATTTAGCCCGAGTTAGGGCATTGTCTATTGCAATTTGTGTTAGTGTTATTTGTAAACGATGAAGAGTTATAATTGAAGCTCTTTTAAAAAGAAAAATAAATTTTGCTAAAATTGTCAGAACAACAAATGTTACCTTTTATTTTTCAAATATAACACATACATTATATTAATTTTAAAATACTTTACAGAAATTAAAAACCTACCGAGATATAACGGAACATGCTTTCCAGCATACCATAAACATGCAGTCACATTTACGCAAGTTACATTTTTTCCCTGAAACTCACAGGCTGTCACATTCGTGTTTATTTGTTTAGGTAAAAACGTGAGCTTCGCAAATAACTGGATGACAGGTTGGGCTCTGAAATGAAAGAATATATATCATTTGGTGTATTGCAAATCCTTAAGTAAATTTCAAGAAGAGAAGCTTAGAGTAAAGGAATAAGGAGTGCTTTTTAACACACATAGGTTCAAAATTTAAAAAAGAAAGAATTGATAAAAACAAAATCGGTACTTTTTCAACACTAAAAACAAAGTAAATAATTAGAGATGAGAAAACATTATTACTTAACAAATCAAATCTTTCCTGAGTGATTGTATAAATACAAACTTAGTAACAAACTGAGTGATAGTATAAATGAGGGGGAAATAAAAATTCCCAGATTTCCATTGGGATTCATAAGCATGTATATTTTAAACTATTAATTCATGAAATATTTTTTATTTCTGCATATTTTCAAAGCATTTTCATGGTACATCTAAATTCTAAAGCAATTATATTGCTTAAAAGGGAATAAATCTTCAAGCCTAATAATATAATATGCTTTGTGAAATACTAAGTTTTAAATTAGAATTATTTAATTTTGAATGATTAGAAATCAAGGAGTTTTCAGAAAGCACATAAATCAGAAAACACACCAAGAAAAGCAAACAGAAAGCACACAAAAACTAACTGTGCATGCAGAACGAAAGCAGTCAAGAAAGCTAAAGATCTGAGACACTACTAAATAGGTCAAGAATTTCATTCCCAGTTACTGAGCAGGTTGGCTGAATGGGTTATTCATAGCAGAAAATAAATATTATATTATTGCATGTGCAATGCAAATAAGAGCAATTATTTCCATGGAATAACACCTTCCCTTTCAGCAGATGGTCATTGAGTACTTTATAAAAATAAAAACATTAATGTAATTGCTTATAACACACACTGAATATAATGAATTAGATATATGTATATGTGTATATAGTTGAATAACATTACATATATGTATATGTGTATATAGTTGAATAACATTACATATATGTCAAAATAATAGTTATGGTTTTATTTTATTCCTATAAGTTCCTGTTGGTTATTCCTCTTGGTTTGCAAATTTTATTATTGGCTAAAAGAATTTTTCCTGTATGAAAGAATTATATATGCCAGGGATTAATTTTGAAATGATGCGGAGAGATTTATAAACTTGTTACTATTTACAGGACAGAAAAGGAAAATAACTAAATTAAAGAGGAAACTGAAAAGAGTTATTACAAATTAAAGTTACGATTTTAGTTTACATATTCTTTATTTTACACATACATATGTAATACGTAAAACTTTCAATAATTAAATTTGACTAGTAAATTATTACTGCAATAGTTATAGGAAAAAATGTAGAACATTCAGAATAGCACAGTTCAAGTTGTAATAGAAGGGAGTTAAATTACGAGTTGATAGTTCGGCAAGATGTCGCATTTTGAGCCAAAGGCGTCTGAGCAAAGAAGCTTGGGTTTCTTTTATTAGGAACAAACCTTTGTCATGTCAAATTCCTCACGTATCTTACCGTCTGATACCGCTGTTCTCTCTTACGAACATGGATCTATGGAACGAATAGTTTCCAGACAATTCCAGCTAGTCTATGACTGCTGCCAAAACAGGCGTTTTACGAATATTTCCAAGAACGTCAGAAGAACTGGTAAAGTGTATGCGTTTCAATGAAAGCAGTTTCGAAAGCGACTGGTCTTTTTTTTTTTTTTTTTTTTTTTTTTTTTTTTTTTTTTTGTCTTTCAAATAAAAGGGTCCTATACTCCTATAACCATTTGCCATAAACATGTTGGACATTAGATTAATAATATACTTACACACGTACTTAAAAATAAGTTTGCTACCTACAGGGGCAAATGGAAGTAATTTAGCAATTTTTCCTCATCCAGAACAAAAGAACCAAGTAATCATGTTGTGCAGAAATATTTATAAAACTAGGATGTAATTAAAAGGAAAATACCGTTTTCGGGGGTGGGAGTAACAAACCACATATCAATAAATTAAATATGAAACATAAATGCCTTACACCTTTAAGTAAAAAAAGTAATATCTAATAAATAAAATAGATATTAGTAGCATGTAGAAATCACCACTATGACAAAACAGACACCGGAAAATGAAATGGAATATACGCTTCCCCAGATGATGCCATGTCCAATTTAATTTTCCAGTGTTTCTTTTGTCCTACTGGCTCTACAGTTTATTTAATTATTTTTACTAGGTGCTGGATTTCTGTTTGGAACTCATATGGTAACATAGTTTATATTTGGTTTATTTCTTTTCACAAAATCTAATTTTCCTATAAATTTACGTACAGTTTTACTTGAATATCGGTTCCAGTTTTTCCATTCGATCCTTTTGCTCTAGATGAACCAGAATCACTAAATTATCAATTAATTAAATAATCACTTTCATTTTCTGCAATAGCTTAAACAAGCATATTATGCATTTGCTTCTTGTTTTCTGCAGCTATATGCAGGCTAGAGAAAAGGTTATTTAAATTTAAATTTTTAACTTCTTATTGTTTTTCTTATATATGTATATGTTACGGTGAAACACCGAAATCTGGAGAATGTTGACTTTCACCGGTGAATGTCAACATTCACATAGTCGTGGTGTGTCCGAAAATTTACCAAATCCCCTATTCTGACACACCGGAAATGTCGCATTCACCATGTACTAATGGTGAATGTTGAACGTATAAAAAATATTATTTTTTTTTCCGTAGTTCAGTCGCGGAAAAACGCACTTGAGACTTAAAATAAGAACTTAAGAACATAAGAACTTAAAAACACACAGTACTTCAAAATGAGAAAGGAAAATAATAGAAGTAAAAAACTTACTAAAATTAGTGATTCAATCTATTATTGCACAACTTAAACTATTATGACACTTTGAAGCGCACAAGAGGCCCTTGCTTTTACAACTGCTTTTGTGGAACACTTCCTTGCAATGCGCGTGTAATATACTCCTACACCAGAGCATATCTGTGATTGTCGACATGCACCGGTGAGGGTCCGAATGTACAAGAATGTAATGCAATATTCGATCTTCCACCGACGTAGTTGGCGAATATTGACATTCTCCGGTGAAAGTCGACATTCTTCACTTTCGGTCTTTCACGGTAACATATACATTATTCATGTAGAGTATCGTATTAATAACTTGTACATAGTGCCTAAAACATGGGTATGCAAGGGCTAATCAAAATAAATTTTCATGGATAATTGACAAATATACACAGGGTAAAAAAAAGGTATTAGCAATTACCTATATAATTGATCATATTAGCTAACAAAGGAAATGCTTGACAATTTTAGCTGGATATAACGAATACAGGAGATAATAAACACACAAATATAATGAAACTTTCATTTTAGTAAGCCTTTTACACAAATTATTCAACAAAAACTAAAATTTGCATGTCCAAAAATATTGGCAAGATCAAACAGCAAAATGTGGGAACAAAATTCAATACTTCATATTCATATCTATTGCATTTATAACAGCTTGCAATCTGTTTCTCATAAAGAAAACCAGTCTTAGTTGCACTATTGAGAATATTGTTCCATTTTTGCAGAAGTATACGCTTAAGTTCATCTTTACACAAAATGATGAGTTTTCTGACTCCTAGGTTCAATTTGTACCACAAATTTTCAGTTGGATTTATGTCAGATGATATTGGCGGTGTTTTTAACTGGCGAGGAGCGTTATAGAGTAACCACTCCCGAATGAGGTTCGCTGTATGCTTAGGGTCATTGTTCTGTTGAAACACGAATGATGTTCCTAAGCTAAGTTTTTGGGCACTGACTTTCAAGTTATGGCGCATTATGTCAATGTATGTACATGTTGTCATAATACCATCAATGAAGCACAGGTTATCAACACCGTTCGCTGCCATACAGCCCCAAACCACGACGCTCCCTCCACCATGCTTCACAGTCAGTGTTAAATGCTGTTTTTCCAGTTTGGTGGTTGGCTTTCTCTACACATATTGTCGTCCGTCACTCCCGAAAATGTCAAATTTCGATTCATCCGACAAATTTGACTTTGGTTTACTTTATTACACTTTCTTTATAAGACTTTGGCTTTCTTTATGAGAAACAGATTGCAAGTTGTTGTAAATGCAATAGGTACGAATATGAAGTATTGAATTTTCTTCCCCCATTTTGCTGTATGATCTTGCCAATATTTTTTGGCATGCAAATTTAAGTTTTTGTTGAATAATTTGTGTAAAAGGCTTATTAAAATGAAAGTTTCATTACATTTGTGTGTTAATTACCTCCTGTGTTCATTATGTCCAGCTAAAATTGTCAAGCATTTCCTGTGTTAGCTAATATGATCAATTATAGGTAATATTTTTTTTCACCCACTGTATATGGGTAATTTATCATATGAAGTCCTGTCCTTTCTATACAGTTCGGAAAAAAATGTCATATAAAATTTTATTAAATATTAAGCAAATATTTCAGAAGAGAAAATAATGACTATTTAAATTTATCTGACTGATCCACAAAGGGAAGGAAAATGCCATCTAACATGTGCTGATATTACAAGGGCCTGAAATGAAACACGTTCATTTGGAATAATGAGTTAGTAAAAGGAATTACCTGAACAAAACTGCATTTGATGATGCATATGCTCCAACAAGCATATCTGTAACATTAAAAATAGTTCATCAGTATTACATTATAATTAAAAATAAACTATAATAAATGGAACACAAGGCCATAAATATAATATCAAAGCTGCATCTCACCAGGATACTGATTACTGTCAATGTCAAGCCCGCGAGATATCTGTATGCCAAAGCCAGATAAAGTTGGACTGATGCTGGATGCAGAAATTTTCTAAAGATATAAGAAACAACAGCTTTTCAGAAAAAATATAAAACTCCTAACTTCAAAAGGTATATTCATCAAAAGTATGATTAATTTGTTTTATAACTCTGAAAATGTACTAATGTATGCAAAATGTTTCATTAGCACACATTACTGTGCATTTAGAAAACAGATATAGCAGTGAAATTCTGCTCCATCTACCTGAAAGGTTCATAAACATACATATATTTTGACTTTTGTTTTAAACAAACTTTTTAGGAAGCTTATCCTAAGCAATAGGACATTCTGAAATAAAAACTGTCACACCAGGAAAACTAAATTTAGAGTAAATCACTAGGAATTTCTAGGAAATCTACTAATAATACAGCTGAAAGAAATAATAATCTGAGAAGTTACTAATTTATCCCGTTTTGCCTTGAATGTAATGAACATAATTTATCAGACTCAGACTAATGCTTTTAAACAGATTAAATATATTACACTTTTAATTAATGTAAGTATTATAAAATAAAAAAAGCACTTTTTTTTTTACCTGAACATACAGCACGTAAATTCCAACAGAAGAACCATGATATATGTATACGGCTCCATTTTTATCTTCATATGGGGCTCCTATAGCAACATCTAAAACAAGAAAAATATTTGCTTTTAAAAAAACGCACTTAACAAAATTGTGTCAACAAATAAATTTTGTAACTATATTGAACAAGCATTTAGTAATAACAGTAAACATTTGTGAAGCTGTTTTCTTTGAGAAAGAAAATTTCTCTGACAAGACAATATAGTTTCAGAAAGAAAGCAGAACATGATGACAGTTTCTCTGAAATTTATACAGATTATTATTTAAACAGGTTTCTAGGTTTAATATCACTTCGGTAAACAATATCGAAAATTCTAGCTTGTTGCGTCAAAAGCTAGTATGTCAACTTCATCTCAGTTAAATACAAATCATTAGTATTTGATTAGAAAAATTGTTGAATTTTATTTATAGCCTAAATTATACTCATTAATTCTGTTAAAAAAGTACAATAAAAGTTAATTTAGATTATCCACAAAATTCAGGTCCTAAGTTATAAATTTATAATTATTTAAAAACTATGCTTAACATCAATTATATATTATTTGATGTCATGTCATGATACATACCATTGTACCCATCTTGATTTAAATCGCCAACATTAGCTATAGCAGAACCAAAGCGAGCACTGGGTTTATTGTCACCGAATAACTCTGCAAACAACTGCAACCCCTGCAGAAAAATTTTGCTATTGTAAATTACAGGAAAACTTGGTAGACAACACTACCGTTCTTAATAAACAATATCCATTTATACTTTTAATTCACACAAAAAATTAAAAGTATAAATGGATATTGTGAATTTTTAACAACAAATTTTATGACAGACCGAGCTAAATTAATAATAATTTTAATTGATGAAAGGGATGTGAAAAGAAATGCAATAAATAATTTAAATGAATGTTAATAAGCACTTATTTTCATAGAAATATGTAAGAGCATTTTTTAAATTCTAATATACACTACCTGCCATTGAAAATGCAGTACCAAGAAGGCGTGGCCAGAAAGCGATGGAACTCGGTGAACAGAGAGAGACAGCAGAATCTTTCTATCTTTATTTCGAAATGATATGCATAATACAGAGTGAGAACAGCGTCGGCTGAGTAGGTTGTAGGACCACCTTGGACGGCGATACACGAAGCAACACACCTAGATACAGATTCAGTGAGACTATGGATGGTGTCCTGAGGAACGGCTCTCCATTCCCTGTCAACCATTTGTTACAATTCGTCTTCTGAACGCGGCACTGGCAAGGTCTGCAAATGGCGTCCAATCACATCCCAAATGTGTTCGATTGGTGAGATACCAGGAGAGAATGATGGCCAGGGAAGCATCTGTACACCTTGTAGGGCACGTTGGCTGATGCGAGCAGCGCGTGGTCGGGGGGTTATCCTGCTAACAAAGGGCACTGAACACTCCCTGAAGGTATGGAAGTGTCAACGGCTGCAGCATATAATCCACGTATCGTTGGGTCGTCATTGTGCCCTGAATACGAACTAGAGGTGACCTGGAATCGTATGCAATTGAGCCCCAAACCGTGATTCCGAGTTGTTGCGTGGTGGGGCGTTCCACAGTTGCTGCCGGATTGGATCTGTCTCCACACTGATGCCACACTCGTACGCGGCGACTATCATTGGAGAAAAAGAAGCGTGACTCATCTGAGAACACGACGTTTCGCCATTCCGTCGTCCACATCGCTCGAGCTCAGCACCATTGCAGACTCTGGCGTCTATGATAGGGGATCAATGGCAGTCTTCTTAACGGAAGCCACAAGTATAAGCCACTAGCCACGAATCGACGGCAAATGGTTCTGGTCGATATGGGAACATCCGGGGTACCTTGAACATGCTGCAGAATGGAGGTAGTAGTAACTTGCTGGTGTACCACCGCTTGTCGGCCGATGCGCCGATCCACGAGTGCTCACGTCACTCTAGCTGCACCGGCACCTCTCGAACTTGACATATTTCTATGTTCCATCGTCGCCACAGCCTGTGCACTGTGAACGCGTCCAGGTGCGTGTGAGCTGAGATTTGCCGTATAGAACAGCCTGCCCTACTCAGTGTGATCATATGTCGGCTGTTTGCTGGAACTGCCTCCGTTGACAACGGCTTGGCATTATCTGCTATTACACGTGTCCTGCGAGACAAGGACAAATTTTCTGGGATGATTTACCTAGCAGAAATAATGGCACGAAAATTGAACATTCTGCAGGTTCCTTCCCTTATATCGTTTTCAACTTGCGGTGGAGAACTGTGCATTTCACGTCATTCGCATAACTCGGTGACGCGCTTTCTTCCTGAAAGTTGCATAATTTTCGGGCTACTCCTTCTTGGTGTTGCATTTTCAATAACGGGTAGTATATAATGAAAACAAATTATGAACTTATTAAAGTATAAAGAACTTATTATTATGATTTATTATTATTTAAATTAAGACAGTTTTATTTATAAAAAAGAAGCTGAAAACATTTACAAGCAATTTAAGAACTCACCATCCCGTTACTTATGTAAACATAAACTTTTCCCTCGTCTCCACCAGAATCAGACGACGAGAAAGGAGCTCCAACAAGTAGATCAGCGTATCGGTCGCCATTTAGGTTAACACCAAGAACAGCAGCACCAAAATATTCACCAAACTATCAAAGCAAAAATATAGCAAGTAAATACACATACATAATTTAATCATTTCCTATTTTCTGAATAGTCTTAAATTATGATACAGTACCTGAATTTGTAGACAACAGTAAATTTAGCAATAAGTTTCTGCAAAATAAACTTTAAAAGGGGGGAATGAAAAGACATGGACTACAGTAATTCAACTTAGCTCACAAGTCGCTCACTCACAGGTCAGCTCCCAACCTGTGATCCCCAACTTCAAAGTCTTCACTTCAACTTCAACGTCAACTTTACAATCAAATTTTCTTACCGTCGTACCGTCTAATTCTGATAATGATTTATTAGTGGATATAGTAAATATTTTATATCGATATTTTTCTGCTCTGTTTTGAAATATCCAAAATTGTCGCTCTATTGTTTGAAATTTCGCACTATTTAGATTAATGATATTAGTCGGTTTCGTTTATCTGTCTACTTACTTATTTATTATTCCTGAATTTTTTTAATTATTTACCGGCTCATTAACCGTATCTTAGTTACTTCATTTCGTTTATTCGGATAATTTTAAACAATATTAGATTGTTAAATGCGATAATTGCATACTATGCGATAATTAACTACGGTCGAGTGTTTAAAATGTTTCTTACTATTCTATTAGAATATTTTCATCTCTTTATACATAAAATAGGGTTTATTACCTGTGTTCCTTCTTTTTTCTGATGAACAAGTAGCTTATTTGAAGGTGACTTCGTAGGTTTGAATATGAAAACCTAAAATAACACATCAAGATAAATAAATGACAATTTACGAAACTACAAGCTTTCCTGCACATTTCTATTATAGATACGAAAAACATTGAAGATAATATATTTTGTTTAAATAACTAGGAAGCTAAAGATAGGCAACATCAAAGATATAGATAGAAAAAATGTTTAGTTATTAGTCAGAAGACTTAGAATTAGGTGCAAAAGAATGTCATTTGACAATTTTTTTAAAAACTGCTTACTCTTCCATGACTATCACCATCCCTAGGTGCACCAACGGCAGCATACGTTTCATTGTTGTCGTAAAATTTGCCTGAGGTGATAGAATATCCTAAAATAATAACAGCAATTAAAGCTATATTGTAGTTTCATTTTATATGACGCATTTACATGTCATAGCCAGAAAATAAACCACAACATTTCATACTCACTAATACTATATTTTTCAGACTAATATTTTTTCAGAATTAAGAAAATTTTGCAGAGAGTAGACTGATGCTATTTCAGGATGACAAAATCGATTTTCATTTTATTTCATTGAATGGAAATTATATATAAGACAATGTACTGAAATATGAAGGGCAGTCATTGCTTTTTATTGATCAGTTTTCATAATACCTTCGATAGGGTTTTATTAAATTGAATAGATAATACGACCTAAGTATATATTTAATGTATATGTTACCGAGAACAGGATCTTAAAATATAACTTTAAAAATTAGAATGCTGAACCAGTTTGAAAAGTAACTTACAAACTCACGATTTCAGCTGGAAATGTAAAATTACACAATCACCTTTTTCAAAAGCGAAAATGCTTGTCAGTTTTGTTCAAATAATTTCACAAAGAACTGACGAGTATTTTCACTATGAATGATTAATATATCTAAAAGTCAGACCTAAAACTTAATTAGTAGTTTAAATTTCAATGCGCGAAAGAAAATTTAGAAGCTTGTGTTTAAAAATAACATAATTAGCAGAAGAAAACTATTGAATCACCTGTTTTAGACAGACTAATTACAGTTTCTCAATTTTCATTGATTTTGAATTTTAAACTCCCCCTGTTTCTAAAACTTTCCCGTACTTTTAGCCATTCGGCCATTCTGGTCGATCTACATATATAAGAATTTTCTACATAAGGCATATAATGGGAGAGACTTACCCATATATGATTCAGGATTTTGGTCGACAGGAGGATCAGGTATTATAGGATCTCGATACTGGTCATAAAATCGTGTGTAATTTATGGGATAATTAACTACAGTACCTAAAACAAAGCAAAAATACTCATAAAAATGTAATCTATTAAATCATTCACAGCAAAAATGTAATTTCGCTTTAGTTTCATCGTCCAGTTTATTTTAGTGATGATTCTGAACTTATAAGAATTACACTTCGTACTTTTATACACCCATAAATTGTCCAGATTTCAGTTTTATTTTAAATATAAAATCATTTACCTAATTTATAAAATAATTTAACTTTAATATTATGAAGCATAATTAACAAAGAATTACTCAAATATTAAGATTTTTTTAAAATAGCGTTTGCTTAACAGCAGCAACTCGACAGAAAGGTCCCATGCAGGGTTTTTTTTTTTTTTCCTTTTGCTGCATGCACCTAAAATTAAGATGGGTAAATTTATTCAAGCATTTATATAGGTTGACAAAACGTTATTTGTGTTGCACAAGATGGTTTCAAACTCAGATACAGAGCATGGGAAAGAGTGAGTGTTACCAATTCGAACTACGATAACCAGCAGAAATAGTGGCTGAAAATATTAATACAAATTCTCCGTACACTACAGCTATTTGATTTCAGGTGATAGCCTTGAAAAAACCGCAAAGAAAATACAGAGCCGAAAAATTGCCACTGATTTGGCGACTGCAGCCATTGGTTTGGCGATTGCAAAGTTCTTATGTATATATCATAATTTAACGGCCCTTCCTTTAAAATGCATTTTCTCAATATCAGAGAAAAGCACAGATTCACAGACTCACAGTTGTTCAAAATCTGATAAATGGACGAATGACAACTGCGCGAGATGTAAAGAATACAGTACGACTTAGTTCCGCCCCAATTTTGATGGACAGCACGCAAGCGGACTCTCCCCGTCCTGTCCTCTGGAGAACACTTTTGGCTTGCAGCATACCAGGGCCCTTCGGTACGGCAGTTAGAGTCACTAACCACTATCCTAGTTGGGCGGCACGAAAAGGAATGCCTTCGTGAAGAGCTTTCGAGAGAAAACTAGCTCCTATTCCCGTTACACATGAAGAAAACCATAAAATCAGCCATCCAGCCGTCGAGATTTCAACCCGGGTCGAAGTACCAGTGCTCAACGATTTATCCTCTCAGCCACTAGTGACCATAGTGCCCTTAAACCATGGAAGAATTTACTTTTTGTGGTCTGTAGCTAAGGCTATTCATTACACCTTCTTTCAAAGCTATCAGTGAGTATAATTTTTTGTGCAAAACTACACCAAAAATCTTCCTGTTGACATTAAACAAGAAGAGTAACGTTATTTTAGACCTTTATTATATACGTTCTGAAGCCTTACAAATATTTTACGAGCACTTTATGAAGCACAAGATGAAACATTACTATCACCTCCATATTAATCAGATCCTCTGTTCTTAACCTATAATCGTTTCTATTGCCATCTAGATTAATTTCTGATACATAAGAGGATCCTGTAAGTATGCAGATATTAGTTAAACTGTTCCCAGCTTCTTAGCATCATTATCGCGAGACACTTTTCACTGTGGGTTGTAAAATGCAGGAGTTTACTGTAAAAGTGTGTCTAATTACAAAAACTGTTTTGACAATATTGATTTAAAAGCTGTTAACAGCAAAAATTAAAAACACTCTTAACAGCAAAATTACAGTTAAAAACATTTGAAAAAAATCAAGGAAAATTTGAAAATTTAAAATTTTATACGGTATTTTTCATACAAGCGATTTCAGTAATTAAAAATGAATAAAAATTTGTATATGCATTTGCTATTAATTTGTTATTAAGAGTTTTCAGCATTATGCAACAGCTAAACAGTTTAAACCGTAATATAATTGTTAGGACATTGGAATAAATGATCAGAATTTAACGGAATAATCAGAAATCAGAAAATGTATTTGAAAAGCTAACTATAATGTTTAAATCTGAATTATCTAAATTTTTATTGATTATACATTAAGCTTAAAACACAATTTAGTGAACTCATTAACTTTTCACATAACTAAATGAAGTAAAATCTAGAAAGAGGAAATTAAGAAAAACCAAAATTTCTGGCTTACCAGTCCAGTCGTAAAATCCAGGCGCACCCAACAGTAAATGCTTTCCATCCTAGAAATTGAAATCAAATATTTTTACATGGAACAGGAAAACGTTAATGTAAAAGTAAGCGGCGGAGGGGGGGTATTGGCAGACGTTTCAAATTAAAATTCTGTCGATTTTCAGGCCAACTGATTTGATCCTTCTTTTTTTCAGAATCAATTTTTTTTTTTACTGAACAAAAGAACCTTAGTCGCCCTCAAAATCAGCAGTTTTTAAAATCGTTACCAAGGTAAGGTATTCCCTTCCCCATCCAATCAGAAATCACATAACTGGTCCAAAAATTAAAATTTTTTTACAAAAAGAAAGATTAAAAACTCTTAATATATATATATATATATTATATATAATATTAGCAAACAGGAAAATTAAACACTTAATACATGCATCATTTTGAATGAAAAGGAATTGTGAGAAAAACTTAAGCATCTACAAATTAACTATTGCAAAAATTAACTAAAAATATTGTGAATATCCTAAAATGGGTGTACTTCAACTGCGCTAATGAAAATCCCCCCCCCGGTTACTGCTATAGTCCAACTGCGCCGATCAGAATTTCTTCCCCCTGCTGCCTACAGGGTTACAGTTGAACTTTTCGAAGCCAATTGTAGCCAAGAGGAAAATAAAAATAAATAAATAGAATTACATATCACAAGACCAAGTGAAAAACTATCTAACAAGCAGGCTAATTACTTGAATAATAGTAATAAATGGAGAGCTAACAAAGAAAATAAAAAGTATTGGTAAACATACATATTAACATTATAAACATCTTTCATTAATTACAATATTAGAGCAAAACGTATTATAATAACATCATAAATCAAATAATTATAAAGCATACCAATTATATTTTTCATAAATTGCATCAATAATAGTCAAGATGTCTGAACTAGACTGGAAAACGTAATATAATTCACTGGCGTGCAAAAGATTATTCCGAATCAAAGTGTATTAAAGTGTGCTATAAAAATGTTTCGTTAATTAAAGTAATCGTGTAAATGTTTGCAAAAATTAATAGTTAAATTAAAAAAAAAAGCTTAGAATGAAATCTATTATAACAACATTACTATGCGTTCGGAACACTGACGTATAAATTGAAATAAATTTAAATTATTATGCTAAGAAGTTTTTTCTAAAATTTATCTAGAAGAAAGGAATTACATAAACAAATACTGCAAATATAATAAATCAGGCCTCTCATAAATAAAGTTTATTTTTTAACCAAAAATTAAAAATTGGGATGCGAAAGTTTGAGTAATTACTTGGAATATCTGAATATATATTAAATAGAACGTATATTAAATTAATAACAAGTAATTAACAGCAACATTAAGCTTAATTCTTCCGTCTAAAATAAAACTTGATCAATAACTGAAGTTTACTGCTTTTACGTAATTTGCGATAAAATAAAAGTTGCACTCGTGACAAGTGCACGATAGTCAACAGGATAAAATACATGGTTAAAATGTACTTGTCAGTGGTATGCAAGTGCGATGGCTAGTGAAATTAAAGGATATAGAAAACATAAGCGCACAGTTGAAAAGAAAGAAATCGGAATAAAATTGTTAAGAAAATTAATGGAGAAGTAATCTTATTTTTGAATCCATAAACTCTATGTTTTGGAAAATGTTACATTAATGCACTGAGGTTCATCCCGAAGGCTTTAATTCTTCCTTATTTTCCTATTAGAGGATTGTAAAAAGCTATGTTAAGGTGAAAATTTTTGCAATATTTTTAAAGATAAATCAAAAAGTATTTTTTATTCATGAACTGAAATTTTACGCTACATTTTTACCATAGATAGTATGAAAAAAAAGCTGGAGGGATCTCTGGTTAGAAACTCGGATCGAACTACCAATGTTAATGACTTTCGCTGATGTAGATCTTTGAATTAAGCTGAACATATATTAAAGAAATAGAGATACGCACAGGTAAAACCAAAAGTTGGCTGAATTATAGATAACATGTAGGGAATAGTTAAACATAGAAAGTATAAAAAAATAGTAGGCCATTATGAAATATTAGGAATGTAGCATAAAGCATCAATGAAGAAGGCATGGAAATCTAAAACACTGTAACTAATGATATATTATCAGTACATGCTATAATTTCAATTTAAGCGAAAAAAATATAAAGAATAATAGATAATCCCAGAACTCGTTGCATTATAAATATCAACTTACAACGTTGAAATATTATTAGCATGATTTAGGACCATCATTGTAACAAATAATTTCAAGTAATTAATTTACAATAATCAGCCTGAACTAGGTAGAAAAAATAGCATTTGCTGAAGATTAAGCTGCCAAGGTTTAGACTATCTCTGTTAACTAGAGTTTGATGCAAGAATTTGTAAATTATATTTAAATATAAATCGCATTAATACAATACAAGTAATATATAATCTACATACTGAAAACTTGAGTACAGTGCAACAATAGAGAAAAGAATGGATTAAAAAGGAATGAAAATTCCAGGCTATATATAAGGGAGTTTGAATTTTTTTTTATTAATTATGAAATTGCTGTGCTTTAATTATAATTTAATTAATGTTAGTAGAATTAAATTATGCCAAGTACATCAGGTGGAAAATAGAATAATATTAACATTTCTAGTATTAAATATGGATGTACAAAAATAAACTTAAATAACATCATGATTAAAATGGAAAGCTTAACGGGAATATATTGCAATAATATAGTGGGAATTAGAATGACTTAGAAGTCAATTTTTAATTTATAAAGAGAATGTTTTTATTAAATTAGAACTGTTACCTAAAATGTAAATTTGAAAGTTAAAACCATTCGCTATTAAGAATTTGTTATATTATCTAGATAAAACTTAGTTAGGTGCGTACAATCGCATTTGATAGGTTGATTTGTATCAGTTTTTGTATGTCATATCTAGAATTTTACTTCAAAACGATATTGTCAGAGACTAAAATCTACAACTTGAAGTTTAATTTACAGAGAAATAAAAAAGATCTGGCTCATCATTCCTTAAGCTCATAAACTTAAAGGTTGTGTAAAAGAAATTATTTTTACTTTAGCACACGCCAGACTTTAACTTATATTGTTTTGCTGCCCAATTTTACAATATTGATAAACGAAATAAGTCAGTCTCTAATAGAATGTCCCATTCATGGCGATAATACTTTTGTAGCACCAATCTTCTGGGAAAGAAATAGGGACAGGAAGAAAGTCGCTCATCGTGGATTAAATAGGGGGGACGGGTACTTCGATCAAATTTGGCGCAGTTCGTACTCTACCCGTAATAAGCAATTCGTAAATAACCGTTCGTAAATAAGCATCATTACAATGAGCGTCAGGCCGCCCTGACGGTATAGTGGTTAGGGGAGCCGACTGCGATACCAAAGGGCCCGGGGCCCGGGCTCGAATGCTTATACAACAAGTTTAGGAAAACTGTATGACTAAATAACTATTGAATAGTTGACCATAAATCTATGGTTTCAGTTCGTTGGTCAGATTTAGGCAAAGCATACAACGGCTATTTGCTTAACGGGAGATAGATTTTGTGAAGGACGTTTTAAGGGAAAGCGACTTGGCTTTACGGTTTTTATTCATACATGAAACGTAAGAGAGAATTGGTTTGATTATGGCAAAGAACGAATATACTAGTGCTATTTGCTTTTGAGGAGGCTGCCTCCCACGAATCACTTTCCAAGAGAAATTGTTCATTTACACACGGAAAAGACATGGAAATTTCGTACAGCCAATTCACCTTACGGAATCAGAATACGTTGCAAGATAACAGAATAGATCTCGCTGGGAAGGAGACTACAAGTATTTCGCGGCTTTAGTCTTTCGGCCGCTCTTCAGCCTCGAGTAAAATAGGCTCCGATTATGGCAGCAGCCAAGCAATGTTTTTTAGTAAAAGTATACGAAATTTTTATTCGAGCTTTTTAGGAAGAAAGCTCCAATATGGTAGCTCTTCCTTATCTTACTAAAAGTCATTTAGAAAACATATCGGTTGGAATTTATCGGGTCATGGCAAAGTACATTAGGGTTATCGACCCAAATTGAAGTGATGCCTTCGCGGAGGACTTTCTCCATATTCAAGTTACACATACGGAAAGCCACATAAACGCCCACTGAGTGAGCCAGTCCTTTTGTTGCGTATAACACCGGTTTGTAATGTGCAAAACTGGCCCTGGGAAGGAATTGTCAAAATTACATGACTTAAATCAGTTTAAAACACTGCGATTAACTGGTAGCTCGCGGTCGATCGGTTTGATCATGAAGGTAGAAATCTCCATGGGTTGGATAGCCCCGCTGTACAGCCATTTTTCGAGCATTTTTCTAAAGGCACCTATTCTGAAAATCTGTAGCATTTTATTATTGCTGTTGCCGTGTTACATTATACTTTTGAATCCTTTTGTTTCTGTCACTGATAAACACAACTTTTCACTTTTTCAAAGCATGTGCACACTATTCCCAGAGTGTGAACTGCAGGAACAATTTTTGGTCGGTCATGAAAAGTTTTTGTTATATAATTATGAATATAAAACGTAATAATTATTCTTAGAGATATTTAATTATCATTATTTCATAATTAAACTATTTTCTTTTTATAACTCGGAGGGAAAAAAGAATAGAGAAGGAAAAGAATACAATTTCTGGAATAGAAAATATTTCAATGCACATATAATCTTGAAAACCTTTTTTTAAAAAAAATAATTTTACACATACCTCAGAATATGTAGCAGATGTTCCTACTTGTCCGAAAGCAAAATAATAAATTTTCGACTGCAAAGACTGTTTGGCTGTAATAAAATATGCGCTTTAAGATACGACATAGAAAACAAAACTTAAAAACGATAATTATTGTAATTGCTTACATACATATGAACTATAATTTGAAATAGAGGTAAATAATAACACCATAAAAAATTATGCATATCTCACCGTATCAAAACTTCACAAGCAATAAAGCCAATTATTATATATTACCTATTAACATTTCAAATAATTAATATTAAAGTACAACAGAAAACGTTTCATGAAGAGAAAGGAAGTATAAATGTAATTAAACGAACTTGATTTTTTTATTGTTTTAACTTTTTCAAATATCCCGATTTTTTAAAATGTTAAACAATAAAAAATAGATTTATTTTAATTACATTTACATTTAATTAATTTTACTATAAGTGAAATTTTCACATTCCTTACATTTGTTCATAACGTGAGCCATTGTCAGCACTGAATGCACAACTAACATTTTGTGGACTAAATAGATCTTGCAAGAAATTTCTGAACTGAAAAAAAAAAAAAAAAAAAAAAAAATCCTGAAATAATTAAATTAAGTCGATGAGACGTGTGGATCGTGTTAATTGAATTTCAAGGTATGGAGAGGGCGATAATGAAATGCTGCACTGAACTCTGACAGTTGGAAAGAGCGTTCCTCCAGTGAAATCACAAACCAGGAAAACAATCTTTAAACGATATAAACATACGGGATCTAAAAAGAAACTGATCTATAAGCAAACTACATTGTTCCTCAAAAATTATGGCCAAGACCTAATTCTAAATTAGTCAGTGCATTTGTTGATTTTATTTGATAAAACTGCTGTCGCTGATAAGGATATGTAAATATTAAATGATATGGCCAAATTTGCTGCTCGATAAATACTCAAATCAGGAAGCAAAATGAAATTTAACACTCAAAATAACTTTTCAAATAATGCTCGCATTAATTATGGGTTAGATTAGATTTGTTATGACACAAAAATTCTATTCAGAATATTCTCAAGAGCGAAAGTTAGGAGGCTTGAGGCAGAAGATTTCAATGAAGATGCCAGTTGATAGAATGATAGATTGAATATAATGGATAGATTCAAAAGAATTGCACTTTATTAAGTTTGGGGCAAAGAAAGGGAAGACTGAAATGAGGAATTATAAAAGTTGAAACAAATTTTATGCTTCGTCACTAAAAATTCGCACTTGCACTGAATCGAACGCAAGACCTTCCAATAACTAGCTCTAACTGCTGACCACTACACCATAGGAACACGTAAGAAGAATGCTTTAATTCCTCACAAATTCTTTAATTGGAAAAAATATTTTAACTTACCCAGGATAATTTTCGTGAATATTCAGAGAACATTAATAAACTGACTGCATATGGGAATTTAAGCTATTCTAATTTTTTTTAATTTATAAAATTTTTCTGAAAATTATTCTAAAGCAGAAATATAAGTTTTTTTTTTAAGCAAAAAAAGGAACTTCTACTTCATTTCTGCAAAATATGTTAATAAACTTTTTCTCATCATTTATTTCTAGATTTAAAAGATAATTAGATAAAATTATTAAAAGGCTCAAGATTTATTCTACGAAACAGAATTTTCTTTATTTCCCAAGGTTTTCTACATATAAAATTAAACTATTATAGCAATATTACTATCAAACTACAATTTGCCTTAATTTAAAATCATAAAACACAACCATATTCATCCCTCGCTAAAAATTATGCAGTTTTTAGAGAAATTTGTGGGGGTAATATATTATCTCATCAGATAATTCCGACGTAGGACTTATCTTGATTCAAAGAGAGAACAGTGTGCTTATAATCTTTGGAAGTGCAAATATCACAGACTTTCCAAACATTCGCGACATTATTTTCTTAAAAAGTATTTCATAAAACAAGGGACTACTGTAATACGGCGCAATAAATAGATTTAAGGCTTCCTAAACATATACACGTAAGCGGAAATTGTAAATCAGAAACCCCGAAGTAGTAGTCGTGGGACTATCTTATTGAAATGGGCCTTGAAATGTTTCCGCTGTTCTCAGAAACAACTGGGTGTCCGATAGTATTCCTATCTTTTTAGCCCAGAAGGGCTATTAATTTTGTTTTGGCATTTTTTGCGTTGATTCACTTTCTGCCTTGATTCACTTTTCAAACTGTTGCCTCCAACTACACAGCCCTGTATTATATTTAACGAAATTAAATAATGAAGAATCTACATAAATGTACGTATGTTTCTCGCACTGTGATAAAACAAATGTACCTAGAGCCATCCAACTGTACCATAACGTAATCCCCCAGCGAATATGGGCATCTGGAAGCCCTAATTTGGAATTTGTTTTTTTATCTATTTCATATTTTGTCAGACATTAAAGAATTTTTGATTAAGAAACTCAACGATTTCAAAGCGAGGAATGACACCACTGTACGGAAAAAAAGAAAAAAAAAAATATCTCCAGCGCGAGAGACTGCGTATCGGAAATTCTAAATATATGCTCCTTTTAAAATTATTTTGCGATACTGCTATTGAACTTAAGTTGTGTAAGTGCGAAGAACACGATATTTAATAAATACAGGTAACACACAAAATGTTAAGGAAAAAAAAAAAAAAAAAAGCCCCTTTGGGCGTAATGTGAAATTTGAAAGCTTTCAGATTTTTAGGATATAATTGATGTCATATTTATGCTTCCTTTTTCCAGAGGTAAATAATCCTTTCAAAACCCTGATCTATGTGAATAAGTTGTAATATACTAACTTTGTAAAATTTTCACGTAAACATATGGAACTTATATTCAACTAATTAAAGTGTAATGAAAATTTTATTAACTGGATATTTTTCTCTATGGGGTTATACGAGAAGTTAAAACTTCTCGTATGACCCCATAGAAGTAATATTCTACTCAATGTGCAAAAGTTAATTCCATTAAATTACATAATTGTTTTTGAGAAATATTCAATTCGATGCATATTACGTATAGAGCAGTGGTTCTTAACTAATTTTGCCTCATGGACCTCTTTCACCACTGGTAGAAGATCTGTTGCATAAATTAAAGAAGGAAAAGTATAGAAAACGCTGATAAATACCAAAATAATAAACTTCCTAAACAAACTAAATACTTAACAGCTAAATAAAAGGCTGACAGCATACACCTCCCCCACAAATGGGAAGTCCCTCCGTTTGGAGAACCCCTGGTCTACCGTTGATCTTTCAAGAAATAAGTCAGTGCAGTCCTTTTTCAAGCGTATTTCACTATAAAAAGTACAAAGTTCGATATCCGGATGACCAATCAAAGACTATGAATGAGAGAATCCCAATTCAGAGTCTTTGGTACAATAACCACCCGCACCATGGAGGTAAGAAACATCCTACCTCAATGACCGGCACTAAATCCTGGTTAGTGCACTGATTCCAAGTTAAATTCATATAAATTGTATTTCACCGTTGTTCGACTGCTCTACAGAAGCCAAGTTTAGCAAGTTATCGCCAAATGTGCAGTTGGATAACTTTGAAACTGTTCATTCAGGCCACAGCTGATAGGAGTCGGGTTAAGTCCCAATCACATTATGTTTCGGCTACGCGGGACTTGACGTCGAAAGGGACAATTCTCAGAACCCGCACAATTCCAGGAAACACGTAGCTAGGTTACCATTCACACTTACTACAAAGACTTGAACGCCAAACAGTAATCGATTATCTCTCAAATTGGGAATACGTGATCCTTCAGAAGCAGAATTTTCGTCTGATTGGTCGACCCGGGATAACTCCAGCAGAGACATTTTTGGTGAGGTTTGAAAAAAAACCCCGCGTAGCCGCAACATTGTTTCCGTAGCTAGGCGGGACTTTGCTTCCAGCGGGGCTCTTTTTTCTAAGAATCCTCCCATTTAAACCAGTGCTACCAGAAATCTCGTTTCTCAAAAAAATCCCGTCTAGCAGGGACTGTAGCCATATGTGATAACCTCTTTACTTGCACGTGTTTCCTTAAGTGGGAGATAGAATTTTTTGCCAAGAATCCAATTTTTCCCTTTCTGACTCAAAATCCACGGCTAAAAGTGAACATCACCGCTTTTACCTCTCCCTTCCTACGGTTATTGTGTTAAAAGTTCGCGATGGAGGGAAATGAGTTTCCACCTCGCCCTTCCGGCCCACCAGCAGCCGAGCGGTTAAGACGCTGAACACTGGTAGTTCGGTCCGAGGTTCGAATCCCCGCGAACGTGCTGGTTGCATGGGCGTTTTCGTGGTTTTCCGCATGTGTAACGTGTATACGAGCCAGTTTCCCTTAGAAAGTCCTCCCACGAAGGCATCCCTCCCTTTAGGCAGATATCCCTCGTGTGCTTTGCTATAATTGAATAATCCAATCCACCTCGCCTTCTGATGAATCTACGACTGCGGCGCCCTCTCACCACGCGGAAGTGAGTTTTCCTATAATTTCAAGGAAATATTCTATGCGTTCCAAAAGAATGTGATACAGGTCTCTTTTCTTTTTGTCACCATAAACTAACCGTTTAAGAAAAACTACATATGAAACCTAAGTTCATCCATGAAATTTTGTAAATTACAACCATAAACTGTCATTAAGTTTGAATAAATGCACGCGGACGGACTCGGATTTGTCTTCTGCAGGCTTACCAGTAATTGAACGGCTAAAGTTACAAAACAGGCGCTGTTCGGCTCCATTTCCATTCTCGATGATTGAAATGTCTGGCTAAGTTTTTTAAGAGTTTGTTTCATGAGCAGTATATATATGCGTGTTTTGTGGGGGTGTGGGGACTCTAATTTTAAAAAGTATACACTGTATTTATGCCACACGCAAAGTTACCATGTAAACCAAAATGTTTGTGACTAATTAATTAGAGATAATACTTATCGGTAGAGGTAGTTCAGAATGCTGTTCTCTTCACTGAATTATTCAGATTCCTTTTAAGATAGAAAAAAATCTTGGCTTCTTTTACTTGGTAGGTAATAACTCTTCCTTCTTATGGTTTGATTTGGTTTAGTTTGATAGGTTATGGCAAAGCACACTAGGGCTATCTGCCTAAGGGAACGGATGCCTTCGTGGAGGGCTTTCTAAAGAGAACTGGCTCGTATGTACGTTACACATGGGGAAAACCTCGAAAACGCCCTTTCAGCCAGCCTATTCGCATCTTCCTTCCCTGAGCACTAAAGTTTGATCATTATTCGCGAGAATCTGACAGCATTGAGCTCGCAGAAAATTCTCTGTGCGCAAATTTGTAAAATCTAGTCCTCAAGCGGTACATCAGCTTGAGATGATAATTTATATAATTTTTAATTTTTATAATTTTTTAATTAAATTATATTATAATTTTAAATATTATAATTTTTAAATAATAAAACAGTTATTTGTCTTGTTTATTTCACATAACAGCGATTCGATTATAATTGTTCATTTTACGATATAGGAGGGTTTTCTTTTGTGTGTGTGTGTTTTTTTTTTTTTTTTTCTTTTTTTTCTTTTTGGTGTGTGTGTGTGCGTGTGTATGAAGCAAAAGAAAGGAAATAGAACGAAAAGTTTGCACCTTTTTTGCCGAGTCAAGCAATGTTTAACTGTGAGTAATAATACAGCAATTATGAAATAATTAATCTGAAGTTTTTCGGTAATGCTAGTTGTGGTGGAGCTGTGTTGGCTGGCATTAATAATATGATGTACAAACCAACAGCTTCTTTGCATACATTATTTCTATTTGAAATAAATCATCTTTATCCAAATAGTGTTTCTGTCAGTAATATTTTAGCTTGAATTCTTAGAATCTTTATAAAGCAGCTGAAAAAAAGACTAACTGGTTTTGCTCTTATCAGAATTAAAAACCTATATGAACTTATATAGCCATATACTTTCATAGAACATTCGTTTTATTGATACATTTTCTGTACCAAGAAATTGATCTTATAGAGCTAGAAAGTTTTAATAATCATATATAAATTTTAATAATTATTTTTAAACATTTCCACTGTAATGCATCAAATTTCAATTCGTCTTTCAATGCTTTTAGAGAAAACCATTGTACTGTGCTGATTATTATCTACTATACCTTATTGACTGTCAAAAAACCCAAAATATACTTGAAGCTGCTTTTTTAATGACTATGACTAATTTAGATACATAATTATTCGAAAAAATCTTTTTTGCTTTTTACTTTTTTTCCTAAGACTGTTTTAAATCATAAGGTATAATAATAACAATAATAGGTATAATAATGGGATAACCAAATAATCTTATTAAAAGTCCTTTTGGGAGGCAGCAATTTTAATTAATTTTAAAGCAGCAATAATTAATGTAATAAGAGTTAAAATGTTAAGGAAACTAAGAATAAAATAAAATTATAATTATACAGTAATCGAATGAAATTAAATCAATATTAAATTATAGCTGCACACTAATTTTTTCCATTGCTCTTTTTTATTTACTTGGTTTTTGGAATTTTATTATTACGATTTAACCTAGTTTGCTTTTACTGTAAAGAAAGAACAAAACATGATATAGATAGACTATTTTAGAGATTTTGCTTTCTTTTGGAAACAGACTATAATTTAAACTTAGTCTTTCCCTTAAGATTTTAAATTTCGTTATAAGTATGCATATAAGAATACATAAATTTACTTTTCGATACTTTGATTTTGGATTTATCACGAAGTAAACGACATATTTTACATTTCAGGGAACTAGACAGATAGGCCAAAATTTGGATGTTGACTTTCGGTCCCAGTTTCTTTACTCAGGACTTTTAATTAATTAGAAGATGCCCAACTATTCCAATACCTGTTATTTAACACTTTTTGAATATCTGCAATTTCTTCCGTGACGAGTCTAAAGATCCAAGTATCTAATATTATCTTTCAAATTGCTTTGAGTCTTGCCTAGATAAATAGGTGGATTTTAATGTTCCCTATAGAATACAACCTTTTTATATATACATGAACGTTTAGTTTTGAAAATAAAATGTCATTAATAGCTACTTATTACTTATCAAATAGGAAAAAATATGTAATTTCATTAGTTTTGAAACAAACTTACATTTATCCACAAAGGGGACAAGTTTCGTTACACTACTAGGGTCCAATTCACGATCAATAACGTAGCATACTCCATTTGTTAAATAATGTTGACGGTAAAATTGATTTTTCCACAAATGCCCGCAGGCCTGTAAAAAAAATGCAGAAGAATACAAGTAGTAAAATAAAACTAAAGTTCACACATCAGTAAAAGTTACAAACCCGATATATCAATAAAGAACATTCAGGAAGAGGCATGTATAAAAAAAATAAATAAATAAAACAAATACAAATAAAACAAAATTCAACAAATTCATCAATAAAAGCAGGGGATTTACATTTCATTCAAAAGGAACCTTCTACTGTTTAAAATTTCCACAAATTCCGTTTGTTATGTAGAATACAAAAACAATCATTTTCCTTTCAGCAAGGAATTCAGGAAATAATGCGTATAAATAACATTTTTTTTTCAAACTTATTAATGGACTCTGATATAGTGTTGTATCCATAACGGCGAGTCGGCTATATCAGAGTTTTTCAAAAGAAGGAAAGTAGGTGTTAAACTTTTATAGGTTGCAATAATACATTTAATCAAGATAATAAAAACGGATTTTTATTTTATTTTGTTTTTTTTTTTTTTTTTTTTTTTTTTTTTTTGCGAACTTTTCTGTCTCAATTTATGTATACTACTAGTAAGGCAGTCTGAAAACTTTGAGATACTTCTAGAAGCACTTAGTAGCTTTCGTGAGATTAAAAGTTTCTCATTGTAAGCAAAATGCTCTACTCCCATTTTCACCGTTCATTTGATACATAACAAACTGATTTCAGGCTTCACTGAATTTTGTCTGCATTATTTACACATTAAATAAATGGAGTAAGGTTCACTGAGGCTGTTTTTAAAGATTCTATATTTTTATCTTTAGAGCTAGGAACTGGACTTAAAAATAGTAGAGTGCTGCGTGCTATGCATAAACAAATAATCCTTTTGCATTTGGCAGTCTAATGGGCAAGTATGCGTTTAAAGCAGAACTTTACTTATGGCCTGTGTTAGGGGTAGACGTGAGGACAGTTTTTCATGTCTCAGGATGAGTCCGTTAAAGCCTCTAACAGTCAGTCTTAACTGAAGACTAAACGCAGATTCTTTGTACTATTAGTAATCTTGAACACGATTCTCACAGCAAATAGCTCATTTAATTTAGCATTTATAGGAAAACGGAGTCTATTTGCTTAAGGGGAGAGTACTTTCTAAATTGGCTCGAATTCACGTTACACAAGGAGAAAATCACGAAAATGCCCAATACAACCAACTCGTTTGCCAGATTTCGAACCTCTGCCGAATTACCAGCGTTCAACAAGCTTATCTAATCGGCGACTAGTAGGCCAACAATAGATCTGCTACAGTCTTATCTAATTTCAACATATGCAAAACAGCATATGGTGCAAAAAATATTCTGTTCAAAAGTTTGAGTGGTTTGCAGAGGATCCCTAATCTTAATTCTATCAAACATGTTGGGGGCAAACTAGAACAGCACTTGTGAGCCAAAACAATGTTCTATTATGAGAGACTAAAATTACTGAAATTCAAGGAAATAAACGTTAGCAGTAGCATTCCAGAATCTACTGGAAGATATCTCCATAAGTATCTAAGATTTTATGGAAATGAAGACTAAATAAACAAAAATGTGCATATAAAAACGTATTATTTCATAATAAAAGAGTTTATTATGAAGTGATGGGAGTTCGGATACTTTTAAATTCAACCGCACAAAAGTTGAACTAGATTTTCTACTAAATGAACTAAATAAATGGAAGCGGAAGCAATGTTAAACACAATCAGAGGCAGAACTTTATTTTTAGATTTGATATTTTATTCAATGTTTATTATTTAGGAAATCATATCAGCCTTCAAAGCAATTTTAACTAGATAAGCGAAACGAGATTAATATTATTTCAGGTTTATATTAAAACTGCATGAGCCTTTTTTATAAAATACAAATTTTGCTTACCACAATATCATTCTGACCACCATTTTGCTGAATATCTAAACTGACTCCAAGCCACATGTTGTCCTTTTTATCATAGTAAGAAAAATCATTGCCACGGTCACTTTGGGTATTGCCTACAAAAAATAGAGTTATATTAATATATATCGTAGAGGGGGGGATATACAAGTGTTGGCTTCGAAATAAACAGAAAATTAGAAACTACTCAGACACATGATGCATACAATAAAGTCTCATAAAGTTTTAAAATTTGAGTCTCGAATTTTTGAACAAAAAACTTATCTGTAACCAAAAACATACTGAGCAAATCTTTTGCATGTTAATAAATAATGATGAATAATGTGATGGATGACAGATTTAAAGAAATGAGAATGAATTTTATCGCATCAGCATCAGAGCAATTAAAAATATCACAAGGATTATGAAAGAAGCCAAGAACTTTTAATATTTAAAATAATTTAAATTTCTTTACACACCAAAATTCTTAGCTCGGTCTTCAATAATGACGCTATCTCAGATATGAGCTCTTGGTATTTTTCAGTCAGTGTGGCTTAATTTACATTACAAAAAAAAAAAAAAGGTCCTCAAATTTTTGAGCTAAAGATCACGAAAAAAAGTTAATTCATACATTTTTACCACTATCGACAGAAAACTACACTTTCCAGTTCTTTGCTTTTATTAAAAATTATTGAAAATTTTGTCTTCATTTAGTTTCTACAGAGAATTTTAACACCCTAACTTTTTTTCCCTTAAGTTAGTCATCCAGTTGCCATACTCTTAGTTCTTAAAAAATATGGGCAGTATGAGATGTTTGGTTTTTATCGTTTGACCAGAGATTTTTGAAGAGTTTGCACTTGAACCCACATGTTCCTGTTTCTTTGTTTGCTTACGTGATTACGGCAAAGACGTAAAGAGCTATCTGCTTAAGGGGAAAGGTGACTTCGTGCAGGATTTTTACAGTGGAATTGACTCATTTTCAAGTTACCCAAAGAGTAAAAACCGCGAAAACACCGATGCGAGATCCGTCTATTCGAACTACCAGTGTTCAGCAGTCACAATCGGCCATATTCTAACCCTTGCAGCTGAGGTATTATTGGGTCTTTGAAACTATACTATTGGGGTTTTATCTGAATTTCGTCAACACCCCTGCTAAATTCTTGTTCTCATTCGGATTATATCTTAAATTAGTCAAAAGGCAATACAAATTATTTCCAGATTTCAAATTTTCCCATGCTTCAGATGAGCTCTTCACGAAGAAAATAGCGTGTTCTCATTTTGAAGTAAATAACATATTCGAATTTATTTAATTAAAGATCTCAGATATTCGTGAAATACCAAATATTACTTCCATCTTTTCTTAGGAAATAATTTAGAGCATGTCAACGCGTAAAAGCAAGAACTTTTGAAAGTACCGATTTCTTTCATACATACCTTTCCTATCCAAAATAACTTCAGTGCATATTGAATAATTTGCAATCGCACAGCGATAGATTACTCCAGGCTCATGAAGTTGATTACCTAATACTGAAGAATTTGCACGAGGTGCTCCAATGAGTGCCCTGGAAAAGATAAAAATAGCTTTTAATTTAATGAAGCCAGAAAAGCAACTTCATGTTTGTTTAATAGCAGTTTCTGCTACTAACCAAACGTTAGTAATCAGAAACTAACGTTTGTTTATTTACTAAACTAATTAACTGCTTTGTTTAGTTAGTAGCTGTTAGTAGCCGTTCAATGATCACCACTTAATGATAATTAAGCAAAGTTAAATTGTTTAATATTTTGAATAAATCTATGATTTTCCAAAACTTCTAGAAATGAACATTTTGTGCCCTGGAAAGGATAAACAAACAAAATTCATATATACGAACATTATAATGGGATCTGAATATACGAATAAAGTTCATATATTTAAGATCATAATATACAGCATGTTTTATATGCTTGTGCGCAAAATTAGGAGAATTTCAAAATTATGTCTATTTTTTCGAAAAGTGTTGAACCAAAGGTATTAATTATACTGCCGCAGAAATTATGCAAATATTGAGAATCGAATACTTAAGTGTACCATGTCTGTCTGCAGAGCTGTGATTGTGGAGGGAATATAAGCGCATGAGAGGTTTTTGCCGATATGCAAGCTCGTACTTGCAATCGTATTTCTCGCAAAATTTGGGTAAATTTTATAAGGTATCAGATAAAATGAGTAACCACGAATGTATGGATGACGGAATGAGATGGAAAATTGTCGATAAATTGGAGGCAGTCCAATCACAAACGCAGGTGGCTAAAGAGCTCAATGTAATGCTCAGTATAAGCTGCAGTTTGTGGAAGCAGTTACAGAACCCCGGATTCATATCGGAAAGAACTGGAGAAGATCGACCAAGATCCACAACGACGAATGAAGATCGTTGTTTGGCACTTTCAGCGGTGACACAGGACTGCTACAGCTTCACAGCTCTCACGTGAGCAGTATGCTGCCAACGAAAACCGAGTTTGAATGTTTGCAGTTGCCCGAAAGCTTCATGAGATAGGGCTGTATGCCAGAAGACCCGCTCATTGCAAAGCACAAGACAATGCGTTTAGCATGGGGCAGACAACATGCGCCTTGAACCAAACTTTAGTGGAGCACTGTGCTTTTTACAGATGAATCGAGATTCAACCTAGACACTGATTCTCGTCAAACCTGTATCTGGAAAGAGCCTGATTACTGGGATTGATCTGGCAGAGCCGTCATTACGACTGCTGAGATGAAATGGTTTGGGTAGGCATTAAGCTGGACGGCCGCCCGTCCGTGTATGTGATTGACAAAGGCTCCCTGACTGCTACGATACATAGAAAGGAGACCTTAGAACCCTGTTTTTAGGGGTGCAGTTGGCTCTGAGTTCCTGTTAATGAACGACACGCTGGTCTACATAGGTTGGCTCAGTTGGTCAACGATTACCTGAAAAGTGAGGATTTTTGCCGCATGGACTGGCTAGCCAGATGCCCCGACTTAAACCCTATAGAGCATTTCTGGGATGCATTTGGAAGGGCAATTTCATCTCACCAACTCCCTCCGAGAACCATTTTGGAGTTGAAACTGCCTTACTGCAGGAATGGGATCGACTGCCACATGAACTCCTCAGCTGCCTCTTGTCCAATATGCCGTCACGCATCGCGACCTTCCTGGTTTTGAGAGAAGACCGTTCCCCATATTAGACTAATTTCCAGTTCGATCCCAAAACAAAGCGTTGAGGGTTGCTCTCAATTCCCTTTGGTTTCTACATAACTCAACCATTCATTCAGACTTGAAAGTTAAGGCTACTGATAACGAAATTCTAGCTCTTCGGTGCACGAAAGCTAAATGATATGCAAGTAAAGTGCCTCAAGTTAGGCAGACACTTGTAAAAAAGGACTGATCTCCGATCGGTTTCGAAAACTGAAAGCTTGTGCGGTAATTGCATTTGTTAATGCTTTTACTCTGTGGAGAGCACTTTACTATCCAGAAAAAGCACCTCGCATGAGCAATACCACAGGTAATAGTTACTGAGAGTTACAAGAGAGAGTATCTTCAGCGTCATAATCGTTTAAGAAGCTGCAAGCAACTGCCAGAAGAGAAAGAACAAAACGCAGATGGAAGATTTTCAACCTGTTCCAATGTTATTTTTTGAAAATGTTTCATTGAGAATTTGCCTTGTACACTAGCCTGAAACCGATTTGGGTTGACTAACTGATTACGCCAAAGCGCACGGGGCTTTTAGGGAAAATGTTTTTCTGAGGAATCTTTCTTAAGCAAAATCGGCTCGTATTCAGATTATAAACTGTGCCACTAGATTAACCGATTTCCCTTAAGAGAATTAGACCGTTGTACACTGTAAATGTTTAATGTGGCACTTACCATTACAATGAAATTGGTTGCATACGTTTCTATGCTCACTATGGTGGAATATGACGAGCATTTCAATATAAAACGGCACTCTAGCTGAATATATGCTATTTGTCTAACAGTTAATTTTTTTCACTACTCTCTCTCTATATATGTAAATATATTTTAAAAGTTCAGACTATGGTAATAATCATAATATAAAATAATAATTTAAACAGTTTTAAGACTAATATCTGTATGTTTATTTGTATAAAAAATAACTGTATTCCTTAATTTACAGATGTATGCAGAGTTGATCACTTTGTTTGTGAACTGACTTAGGCAGAGCGTCTAAGGACTATTTGACTATACAGGAATGCTTCCGTAAATGTTCTCGTATTTACAGGGAAAACCAGGGAAAACCACAAAAATAGACAGGGAAAACCACAAAAATCCATGCAGATCCACAAAAATTTATAGACAGGGAAAACCACAAAAATCCATGCAGTCAGCCCGTTGGCCGTGATTTGAACCTGGTTCTAACTTCCAGTGTTTAATGGGCTTATCCACTCGGTTACTGGTATGTCCAAATCAGGTTAGATTAGGCTATTTGAATCTGGCAAAGCCACGAGAGCTATCTGCTTAAAAGGAAGGATGCCTTCATGGAGGACTTTATGAGAGGAACTAGTATGCCCAAATTAAGTACCTTAGCAAAATCACGCATAAACTCATCATATTGCATTTTCATGTATTTAGAATAAACAAATGAACTCTAATGATTCAAGTCAACTAAACAATTAAAAAACTTAAAATCAGCTTTACGAGAAAACTGCTCGACATTCGAAAGATACGCATGTAAGTACATACTTTGAAAAACAAAAATTTCACTTCCTCCAAACTTCGGGAAAATTGCAAAATTTCTAACAATTTAATATCGTTCTGTTGCATTTGCATTTGTAAAACTAAAATCGTAACTTCCACTTCCATCTCAATTTACTGGCTTCAAAATTTACAAAATATATTCAGCTGTGATCATGGCCTGCATAAATGTGATGATACTGACATGATGACCGAGTCAAAATCATTGAACGTTAGTAGTCCTATTAGGATTTTGATTTCCGATTAAACGAGTTAGCTGTAGAGGAATTTCCAGTTATTTTTCCCACATGTTTAACTACACTCATGTCCATAAATTAAGGATAATTCCTTAATTCCATAAATTAAGGATAATTCGGAGTCACGCGGAAATCGAACTCTAAAATAAATATATCACCTGTAAAATCACTACACACATCTTCAAGATCATATGCACATTTCAGGAAGAACCAGATGAACCGATGGTACGTCACAATGACGAGAGTGTAAGAGAATGATATAAAGGAATACAGGCAAAGAGTAAAATTGTCGCAGGCGTTTGTAAGCATTTCAGAGCATAACCGTATATTATGACACAAAGGACGCATTTGGAGGATTTTTTACGTGTAGAATTATCGGCCGTCTGGATGTGGCGTACCCAACTGGAAGTATCAACGAACTTGGATTGCCCAGAGTGTATTCCAGGCTTTGGCACGATTCCAAGATGATGGTAATGTAAGTAGACGACAGCACATCGCTCCAGAGTTACAAACGCCGAATGAGAACCGGTATTTGGCAGTTACTGCCAAAAAACAGACGGTGCACAGCCTCAGACCTGTCCGTAGCTCTCGTTCAGCCACTGGTACGACAATTTCAAAGCAACCGTGTACAGATGCTTAGGGCAGATTGGGCTATATGCTCGTAGAGGTCAGATGCGTCCACTTACTGCAACTACTGTCGCCTGCGGTTACCTGGAGTAGAGAGCATGCATGGGACACCGCAACAGTGAGCTTGTGTGATGTTTTCCGACGAGGTCTAGGTTTAGCTCGCAGCCTGATTCTCGCCGGACTTTTATATGGAGAGCTCCAGGTACCCGTTACCACCAAGAAAACATCATTGAATGACACCGTTTCGGTGGTGCAGGAGTGCTCGTTTGAGGTGGCATTATTCTCTGTTCCAGAACTGACCTGCATATTCAAATTGGAACCATGACAAGCCAAATCTATCGGGACGTCATTCTGGAACAACATGTACGTTTGTTTCGGGGCTCCATGGGCGCACAATTTGTGTCTATGGATGACAACGCCCGTCCTCACCGTGCAAACATCGTAAGCGAATGCCTTCAATCGGAGGATATCACCCGTATGGACTGGCCAGCATTCTCACCGGACTTGAATCCAGTAGAGCACGTGTGCGACATGCTTGGCCGACGAGTTGCAGCCCGTCAACCTCCTCCTACCATGTCTACCGGAACTTCGGAGAGCATTGCTTTTTGAGTGGTGTAATATCCCCTCAAGATCAGATGGATAATTTGATACTCAGCATGACTAGGCGTTGAACGGACTGTATTGCATCGTCTGGGAGACATACAATGTATTAATAATTATACCAACCATGTAATATTGGTTTTTTGTAAATAAGGGTTTTTTTTTTTTTTTTTTTTTTTTTTTGTAATTTGTTCCAGGACAAAAAATCGGTAATTTTTTTAAATAATATCAAACATATAGCATCTTTTTTTGCTCCTTTACCTTTTGTTTAATAAATAAGCTGCTTTACAAATAAGTTAAATTTGTTTTGCTTCTAACTCTTCCTTTGCCTGATTCTGCATTGTCCTTAATTTATGGACATGAGTGTAAATATGAA